CCCCCCCCCCACCCCCAACCCCCGACATAAACCCCACATGCTATAAACCCCGGCTCGATCTTGAAAATGCATCATTACTCTCAGCCAATCAGATTCAATAAACCTAATGGAGTGTAAAATTGATGTATTTGATAAGTTTGCTTAAGTTATTTCTTGTCGTCTTTACATTGATTATTCGCTTGTCTTTTTCAGTCCAAGTTTCGTTACCGTTAAACATTGGTCTCGATGATGTTCGTTTGAAAGCCGACCCTAGTGAATCTGTCAACCTGACCTGTGTGGCTAGTTACAGCCGTCGACAACCCTCTGGGTATAGTTGGAGCAGAGATGGAACGGGGCTGTCTGACACAACCTCCTCTCTTACCATACCATCCAACAGTGCCAGTAATATCTACAGTAACTCTTGTGCAAGAAAGCTCCTTTCAGCCAGTGAAGTCCAGTGTAATTCAACCTATCAATGCTCTACGTCACTTTCTGGAATACAAGGCAGACATCTGACCACTGCAAATGTTATAGTGTCCTTAAGTAAGCAACACTTTGTGCGTACCTTGGAGCCCCTTTTTGCTCGTTATTGTGTATGTGAAAATTAATTTAATATTCGTGAACACGCAGTTTTCTGTAACTAGCATAATTTAATTCCTTTATAAGGACACGAAAATATTGCATTCCAACAATACATGAAAGTAAACGGTATTAGGTGAAAGAAGCACTTTCTAAAAAAAACCCTCAACTTTTAACGTATTCTTAGCGTGTGACGTATTTTTCTAAAAAAAATATTTTCCCTTTTTTTCAGTGTGCACGTTTGTTTATTCGTTGATTTCGTCACTTGTTTAACGGTTTAAGGGCTGAGTATTGCTTAACCTTATAAATTAGGCTCATTAAGAGGCACATTTTTGCTGTTTTTAGAGAAACCAGGCCAGCCAGCTGTTCAAGTTAATCCAAGTGACGTTAAAGCAAGATCAACATTAGTCACATGGTCGTATAGTCCTGGTGTGGATGAAATGCCTGTTACTGCCTACAATCTTGAGTATCGAAATAGTACCTCTATAGACGATATGTCTTTGGGAGCTGTATTAAGAAAACAGATTATCAACCTCAAGCCATACACAGCCTACAGTGTTAGGTTGATAGCCACAAGTGGCTTAGGAAAGGGTCTGTGGAGCAATTTCCGGAATTTCACAACCAATACTGCCAGTAAGTGATGATGCAAATTAGATGCAGTGCTAATAGAGGATATTACATGGCCGCGCGGAGATACGAAATTTCTCCTCGAGTGTTGAAAAATATTTCACGAGTGAGCGTAGCGGACGAGTGAAACATTTTTTCAACATGAGAAGAGAAATTTTGTATCTCCAAGAGGCTATGTAATGTTCTATTTATTATATAAACACCAATAAAATACCAAACCATTTCACTTTAACAGGTTTTTGATGTGAAAGGCGCGATTTATTATGTAGCCATAGCAAAGGTGATATTTTCACATGTGAACATAACATGTTATTTTCACATGTGAAGATAGCAAGTTTTCGCGCGCAAGCTCACCTGGTATTTCATTTGTGTTTATATAATAAAGAATGATAATTTATATAATACGTTATTTTTCCAAAATTTTGACCACTATATCGTTGTAGCGGTCCCACTCAGTCGGGTAAGAAATATTGACTACTGCTCAACATATAATCGATATTTTCAGATTTTTATTTTCACTAAAATCTGAAGAACTGTGACAGATGATCATGAAGGTGTGTAAGCAAACTGATTCATTGATTTTTCATGTAATAATCACAGGCGTCCGGTCATAGGGCAGAGCTATTCTGATTGAGTATTAATCTATCTAAACTTTACTTGTTACTTTTCCTTTTTAGAGCCTGAAGTCGATGTCCAGATCGTGAGTGTAACAAGTCCTACTTCGCAGTCAATTCTAGTGAAATGGCAGGTAAACATCAGATTTATTTTTACAAAACCTATTTTCATGCTTCTCCAAAGACTATCACCCAGTCGACTTTGACAGGCTTGATTGACTATGGTATAAAGTATGTAAAGTATGCTTGCAATAGCTGTGGATTCACAAGTATGTCAAAAAGAACGAAGAAGGACTGAAGGACTGCTGCGGTCTCCAAATACTGGTCTCGCAGTTATGACAGTTGTAGTGACTTGCAAGCAAATGTTAGAAGATAACCACGGGTATGTACGTATGAGCATGCAAAGTTTAACTAGGAGGAGGAGAAAGTATTTAACGATGAATTACTTGAACACTAATTCAGTCATGTTCATGTCCAAGATACCAAGCACCAACAATTTAAACGGACCCCTTAGAGGGTACAGCATTGAATACAAGGAAGAAGGGAAATCTTCATGGACAACAGTCAATGTCAGTGACTCGTCAACCGATAAGACTTTACAGAACCTGACGAAATGGACAGTATATTTCATTAGAATCGCAGTCAGTAATGGCGACTTTCTTGGCCCACCGGGTCCTGAAAAGCAAGTTCGGACGCTAGAAGATGGTTTGTATACTCCTTAACTTAAGCTTTTTTTCTACAAGTAGCTGTTTCTTTTTGCCCCTTGATCACTTCCAAAACAAGAAATAACTAATAATATCATGGGTGACAAATTACTTCTTTATCTTTGCGCGAAATTTCCGCTTTAATTTATAATTTAACGTGTGAAATTGCAAAATACCATTGCAACGTTTCGTACGTCTCAGTGCCAAGATGGCGTCCAAGTTTAAAACTGTTCAAGTAGTGAATGAAGATGTCAGACATTGAAGACACTTTAGAATAAACGCACAAAAAAGCACACCAAAAAGGAACCTGTCAGGTATTTTGTCAAAAAATTCTAAAAATTATGAACATAAGTCACAATTTAAGGTCTAAACGTTTCAGCGCATAAAGTTCTCGATCGATACGATTAAACAGGATGTCATGTCAAAAACCCGCGATTGTGAGCATAATTTGTCACCTGCGATATTTATAGGTATTCAAATAATTAGGGAATAATTTCACTTGCGTTTTGTTCAAATCCTAATAATTTTGGCTCGAGAAATTAGTAGAATTTTGGATAAAACGCGCGTGAAATTATCCCCATATAAAGAATAAAGAAAAAAATAACTTTTTAGGGGACCTGTGTTAGAGACGATATTTTGATTGTCAGTGGAATCTAGCTTTTCAGTCTTTTTACTCGAGTGTTTGTTGGTTTGTTTGTTTACCGCAGCTCCTCCTCCTCTGGTCCCAATTTTCCTCCCCCCCCCCCCCCCCCCCCCCCCCCCCCCCCCCCCCCCCCCCCCCCCCCCCCCCCACCCCACCACCCCACAGTTCCTCACCCGCCTACCGGACTGCCTCTTAAGTACTTATCGTTTCTCTT